TGAAGCAGCAGTGCAGTATCACAGACAGACCATGATTGTCTGTGGTGACAGACCGTACGGCCGTCTCTTCATTGTATCTGGAACGTCAGTAACGCTGCCAACATCTCTTCTCCTGTGTGTTTATCTCCCTGCCCACATCATCACTGTGGTTGAACTAACAGTAACTTGCTGCTTTTTATAAACTTACTGTGGGATGTGCGGGGCACGCACACAAAAACACACACTTTACCAGATGGTTGCACAAGTTCATAGATGACAATGAGGCCACACTCTAGAGAGTGCATCCATAAATACACTCGTTGGAGTGCATTGTTGAAATGTTGTTTACGATCCTCTTTTGACACCGTCTGAGCTCAAATCTATGTTGATCAGACTTGATCTGGAAGTTCAAGGAAGCACTAATCTGCAGAAATATTACTTAATCTAATACTGAGCCAAGCAGGGCTTGTGATGTAGCTGTCAGAACCTGTGGTCAACAGAGATGACTCAATTTAGCAATCAGTGACAGTCTCCGGTTTTGTTTGATTAACAATTTGAAGACCTGAAGAAAAGTAAAGGAAAGTTGTTCTGGAGTTTGGAAACCTTCCTAGAAAAAAAAGGGAAAAAAACCTATGTTGTTTATAAAGCCATACGACATAGCGTTCTTGTAAAACCACAGCAACCAAATCTGCTGGGAGGCTTTACTGTAGGTCTTTGGGAGTTCGCTGGAATTTTAGTCAAGAAAATGACCTTTAAAGACTTCACTGTAGCGATTCTTATACTAGAATTTGCTGTGAGCCTGTTTCAATGATAACCCAAATCTTTCCCTTGGGGAGTGGCCTTAAAGGATTTGATCATTGGCCTCACTACTGTGTAAATAAACCCCCTGAGATGAAATGTTATCATTGGCCCTGGAGCTTTTTGGGCAACTTCTGCTTGGAACGTATGTCAGTAAGGATAAATACTGTACTTGAAATACTGTAATTCAAAATAATTCAAAATGAACAGAAAAGCCCCATGGAGGGTTTGCCCGTTTTTTAACATGAAACCTGCACACAATGGCACTCCATTCCTGTGATAAACAGGTGAACTGTCCAGAGTGTACCCTGCCCTAATGACTGCTAGTATTAGCTCCAGTCTGCCTGCTACTCTGATGTACAACAAGTTGCTCTTAGTGTATTTTGCCCTCATGTTGCCTTCTGGACCCTCATGTATTCAAAAGCACTGATCTAACAGTTTCTGTTTGACTGCACCGTGAGCACACTACAGTCCTACTTAAGATCTTTTCTGATCTGCAGTCCAGCCCATTAACCTCTCCATCAGCCCACCCACTCCGTCTACCTAAAGCATCCAAGATGCTGTGGTCTCTTAGTCGTCTTGTACTGGATGGGTCCACCAGCCACTGAAAGACAGCTGGCAGGGGCTGATGCCAGGCAGCTGTCCAAACACGCTGTCCAGTCCAGAGAAGGAGAGGCAGAGCTGTGGGATCATGGAAAAAGTGCACAAACGATTGCCTTTCTTTGTTACCAAGAATGAGAAACACACTGAGGAAACAAGTATTAAAAAAAAAGAACAAAAATAATGCCTTAACATCAGTGGAATTTTACAAAGCTGCAGAAAGATGGAGTTCGGATTCTCAGTCTGCAGTCTTTTACCACACTGTTTATTGTTGGTTTGTGTTTGTTTTTCCTGCATCTATCACCGAACTTGAACTGTACATACAGTAGGACAGAGGAAGCTGAGTCCAATCATCTGAAGGAGCAAACTGTGGATCCAAGATGGTGTTGTGGTGTTGTCAGTAACAATAGTTGTTTTTGCTGGTTGTTATAAAGTCCATTATGTAGAATTTAAAAAACCTCAGAATTTAATTCTGAAGAATCGTATTTATGTCCCAAATTTGCCTCTGCGGTTGGTGGAGCTTTGGCAGCATCTGAATGAGTGGATGTGAATGAGTATGTAAAATACTTACGGTAAACAGACAAAAATGTGACACAAAACCAGACAATTCCGTGTCACAGACTCGCCCCCCCTCCCCCCTGACAATTCCGTGTCACAGACTCGCCCCCTCCCCTCCCCCCTCTGCATTCCTGTCATATTGTGTGACTGTGTAGCATGAAAACATGCTAAGCATAAATCCTCCAAACGTAGCCTGTGGTGGCTCACATTCTCCTGTTCAAAGCCCTCCTCTGAGTCACGTCAGACACTGATCCCATGTTGGAAAACAAAAACAGGCGGTGGGCGGGAAGAGCTGTGACACAGCATACACACACACACACACGCACACACGCACCAGTTCACATCCTCATAGTGACTTGAACATGAAACAGAGAAGTGGTTTCTGTTTTCTGACTTTTAAGACTCACACCCACACACACACACACACACACACATAACAGTGTACAGTACATGGATTAGGTTGGGCTATGGGTGGGAGCCAGAAGGATTATTAGTACAAGAAAGTTACACAACCAAACGAGAATTCCAGAAGTCCACAGTTAGTAAAACTCAATGTGGTGAAAATTAAGTTACAGTCAAATAAGCAAAGAAAACTTAAAGACACCAAAATGGCTAAATGTTGACCAAAAATCCTCAACATATGAAACTTTTTTTTTTCCTCACCCATCTACCTTTACTACAGTCACTGAAATATTAAATCATACCAAGTCCAGGGCCATGATTGGACCGAGGGTCAGACTTGCTAGCTTGAGTGTTTGTAGCCTCCATCGTTTTATTGATGACTAGGAGCTTGTAAACTCCAAGTTTCTGGACTAATGGTGAAACAGTGTAGGTTCAGTAGGTTTTAACTGAGCTGATCTAATCTCTCTGTGTCCCTCTGTCAGCAGGCTGGAAAAGGCGAGCCTCACGTCTTCAAGGAAAAGACCTTCAAGAAGAAGCGGCAGTGCAGCGTGTGTCATCAGTGCGTGGACCACGTGGGCTCTTTCTGCAGAGGTGAACATACATCATCACTGTTATGTAAAGTTTTACATGTTTGTTTTCAAGCAAATGCACAATGTAGGTAGATTAGTGAAAAACAAAATAATAGACTGTGAAAACATTTAGCGTTGTCGGGCAGCCGGTCAGCTGGAGCTGTTCGGCCAATCCAAAGCAATGGAAGTTTTTAATTTTTAAAGTTAAAAGTTCCCATTTTTTGTAATATGCTAAATAAAGTCGTGCAGATTCCATGATGCTAACTTATTCTCTCTTTTTTTTATTCCCTGTCATCCAGTCTGCAAGACTGCCACCCACAGGAAATGTGAAAGCAAGGTAATAACAAACCTCAGCCTATCAAATACAAATATCTGACAGTGAAAATTAAAATTTAACAAAAGTTACATAGCTAAGTTACACTAGGTACAAACTGTATTTCAGATTTCCAATTGAAATTTAACAAATGTAATTTAATTTCTGTGAATTTCATGGCTAATTTGACTGCAAACCTGCACTTAGGCCTTTCTTTGATATTCCTAAAATCTGCAATTTACTGAAATTCCCTATCTATATTTTTTTTCCAAACTAAACAAAGCTAATTTTATCAGCTACATCAGACTGACCAATGTCAGCGGCCTCTGTAACTTGGTTTAGTTACAAATCTCCTTGTATAAAAACAGACCTCAGAACACATTCCTCAGAACGCGCTCTGAGCCCTACTCCAAACCTACACTGCTGCCTCTTCTGTGAAAGGGTCATTGATGAGGGATGATGGGATGAATAGACAAGGATGGTGGGGGGGCTCAGGGGTGGGGGGGGCTGAGTGCCAACCATGCTCTGAGCAGAGAAGAAGGCTTCAGGCAGAGGAACTTGGCAGTGGATAGGAAGGACCAAACCCAAGAGAAGAAGAAGACTTGTTTCTTTCTTAACCCCCTCACCCTCCTAATAATGGAAGTTAGTCTCTAAATGTTGCATCAAAGCTTTCCTCTGAATTCAATGATTTTTTTGTTTGTTTTTATTTTTCCTTGTTGCTTAATTAGAACATAGTTGGGTTCCTGAAGTAGTAGGATATTTTACACAGGCGAAAAACTTTGCGTTGTGGTATATTAGCATAAGGTCATTTGTAGAATGGGAGTCTGGACAAGCCAAGGGCTCGTTGACAGGATGCTGTGTTGCTGACCAAGCAGAAACATGTGGTCTATGATTCAAATCTGTGTAAAAAAAATAGAGACCATTCAGGCTGTCATCTAAATTTGGACTCAATTACTGTCCCTGTACCTGGCTGATGCCACCACAGTGTTGTTCGCAGCAGTGCCCCCTGCAGTCCGAAAGACCTCATCATTTAGTGTAAGCAGAGTCTGCTCCGTAATTTGGTAAATAAAATGATAAACTGTGCTACTTTACACCGTGTGTCAAGGTGTAAAAAAAATGTATAGAATATAGAAATTGATGGTAATTCATTGGTTGATGGCTTTATTGTTAGTGTGTAATGTGGATGGCTAGTTAGGCAGTGATAGTCATCTCTGCTACTCAGGAAGGGAGAGGGCGGATAAGGCGGGGTGCAGAGCTCTGACTGCTGTGTTTGTCCCAGCTCTGATCTGACCTCACATGGCATCGCTCTCTAATACTGGAAAGATTTTCATCCAGTTAAGATTGAGATTTATATAATAGAGACTGAATGCTTGGCCAAACTATAGCTAGCTCCCCTAAGATTGGCTTGGACGCTGGTTTCTCCCCGCTGTTGTATCTCACATGAGTCAGTTTATGACTTTTAAATCCAATAATTTTTTTTCGTTTGCAGGTCGTTCTGTTCCAATAATGCTCTACTTACATGTTTATTTTAAGTCTAAACTTAGTGATACAACAGGAATACACTGATTCACAGACATTGGTCAATAACATATACAAACTACTCTACATGTTTATTTTTGTTTTAAGGTACAAACCAAAGAACATTTTCCTTTAGCTAACATACTAGTCACAAAGGAAAAGTAAAACAGCTAGAACAATGAACAGTCATAGCAAGGATTCTCATCTAGTTTAACTCAAGAATTGTAGGAAGTACTTGAAAAAATATTGTAAGGGGAGTTGTGAGAAAATGAAGTTAGACCATAAAAAATGTAACAGAAAAAACAGATGTTGGGTCAAATGAAGTCTCCTACAACTATTTACTATAAGGACGTCGTCACTTTTACAAGGGAGAAAGAACTGAGCTGAACATGGTTCTGATGGTTTTGTGTCATTCTGTCCCCAACTCATTGACCAGGAGGTCAACAGCCTCCAGCTGGGCCATCTCTGTTGTAATGAACACACACAGATAGAAAGATAGATAGATAGAGACAACAGTTTCTCCTTATCTTTAATCCCAAATAGAAAATGAGGCTACAGGGATTTAAGGGGGAGGGGAGTTGGAGCCTAAGTAGAGACGACAAAGAAATGGCGGAAAGTTAACACCAACGATCATTATTAACTCAGTGACACGTTGTACGTCAATAGGTGATTGAAATACTGAACATCCCTCATTTAAACCAGGGGCTTATGTTTGGCACATTTCACAAGTGCAATGTTATTATTATTTTCTAAAGGATGGTATACATTCAGTACTAAAATTGCATTAAAAAAATATTTTGAGCATTTTAAAAAATAATAATAATCTTTTACTGATAAACATAATTTTATGTATTTATTTTCATTATATGTTTTTCTCAAAAAAAAAAAACACGTCTGCTCAAAGGGAAAGTTACACCAACAATGCTAAATCAGGTGATTTTAAGGGGTGACAGACCTTTTGTAAATGTGAAAATGTGGGATTGTAACAAAAAAAGGTGAAAGACGAAGCCTGAATGTTGCCAAAACATTACCAGAGTAAATGGGTAACCCAAAATATAGTTATAATAGCGAAGCTTTTGCCAAAAAGCTAACCCTAAACATCGCTGTCTTCTCTTTCCTCATGGACCAGGAGGTGATCTGGGGACACACAATGTTGCGAACTGTATCAGCGCTTGTTCTCTCTTGTTCATGTGATATCAGCTTTGGCTGAACATAACATGTTTGTTTGGAAGTTTGAACAAATATGAATAGTTCTGTAGCTACAGACCAAAATCAGCAGCGCAGTTTGTCAGAAACTCCAGCCCTTGCTGTACTGGTGGCTGTGTAGGACAGACTGATTACAACATTCCAACAGATGGTGTACATTGGCAACACAGAGAGCAATCATCCCCACTTTCCCAGCATGCCTGAGAATTCCTCACTGCCTCTCATCCTTGTCAGTCGGCCTCATCTTGTCCGAGAACATGTCGAACACGAGACCAAGCTGTGAAGTGTTTTCTCCGTCTCTCTTTGCGCCGCTTAACGAGTAAAGGATGCACAATCGAGCCTGGATAGAGAGGAGGGGTGGGGGGTTCAGGGGAGGAAGGAGGGGATAGTGGGATAAGAGGAAGGGCAACATAAGCTGCCCTGTGTTTTTCCTGACATTAAAGCCTTTCATCAGGACAGTTGTGGTTGGACTCCTGGGACCAGGATTGGATTTATTTATAGCTGAGACAAGTATTCAGATGAAAGAGTTTGAATCCTCCTGCTTTAATGGAGGTGGCAAGACAAATCCACTCGCCCCAAATCTACTCTGTTGTTAGGGGACATTTGAAAACTATCTCAGGCTTTTGAAACACATTTGCGTCTCTGGAGTGGTCGTCTTCTCCTTGTGCCGGCTTTTGACAATTTAGTGCATGTAATTTACCAAAATCTGGAAATGTGTCTCAAAACTAACCATCCCAATTTAACCTTCAACAGCTAGCCACGCCTGTCGTTTAACATTAACTTTTTGCCAATATGCCGCTATTGTACAAACCCTTAATTTCTGATTCTGATATCAACTGATATATGCAGTCGTTTGGGTTAAAGGCAGAGGAAACGTTTCACTCTAAACTATGTTTAGGTCACATCATCTCGGGGTTAAAGGCAGAGGAAACGTTTCACTTTAAACTATGTTTAGGTCACATCATCTCAACGAAACCCAGACATTGCGTTATCGGGTTTTCATTATCGCAGGAAAAAAATGATAATGAATCTTACCGATATTATATTGGCCGATAACATCGGTTTGCCAATATTATCGGACTTCCCCCTTCGGTAACAACACCGGGGAGACAGCCAGTGAGGAAGCATGCGGTGACTCATTATCATTTAAAGGTAAAGGTGACAAATCCAGCTGTAAAGTAGCGTTATACGTCCAAAGTTCCCAGCAGTTCTCCTGTTATTTTAATATCATTTAAATCCTTGTGACAATCACAAAACAGAAAGCATTTTTTTCCAAAGCGAATGTTGTGACCCGGAGACCGTAGAGCAGTTTTAATCATTTCCACAGATCTGAGTGACACTGAAGGTGACTAAACTGTGGTTACAGCCTTTATTTCCCTTGGGCACAGATCCTAAATGCACCGCTCGCCCCCTTTCCTTTGATAAAAACTTTACCAAATGTAGACAGTGAGTCACTCAGGATTATTACATTCAACTGTTCTGTTTTAACGTTACATCTACGGTAAGACTGACTAAAGCTGTCTACGTGTTATCACAGTCAGCTCTGTAAATTGCTGAGATAAACATAGTTAAATTTAATTTTGTGATGAGTGGGAATTCTTCGGGAATCACTCATCTTCTGGGAACACAATAATAATTATTTGCTGTGTAAAGGCCGACCTGGGTAACACGAAACATGCTGTACAGTAGTTAAAATGCAGTTAGCCAAGAAGCTAAAGTTAGACAGCTGAAGTTAATCCCTAACTGAGTTGACCAAAAATATTTGTTAAGATAAGATAAGGAGACAGATAGATAGATGTCAACTCCACAGATAATAGCTAAACATTATCTCAAATGATAACTGAAAGTTAGCCATATATCTCAAAGTCAGGCTAATGTAGATTTGGACAGGGAACAACTGAATGTTGACGACAACATTTGTTTGTTTGTCATGTTTAAGTAAAAATGTGTCATGTCTTTAAGCACACTGTCCGTAGAAGAGTGGCCACACCAAAGACCACTGCAGTTTCCTGATGTCCTTAACATAATGTACAGAACTGATAGCGATCTAACTGTGAACAACATCTTGATGTAGCTCCAGCAGATTCCTGACTGTGACTAATGCACTCTTCCCGTCTTTTCATCTCCACTTTCACGTCTCCTCAGCCTTAGTAGCTCAAGGACATCAAAACCCACAAGGACAGTGACCTTAGTGTGATCCTGTTTTTGAGCTGTGGTGGCGCTAGAAACAGAAAATGACTGAGGCAAACATCTAAAAAAGCAACAATGCATTCCTTAACAGCAGTGTCAAATATAGAAGG